ACTTCGTGAATTTGTTCGCTCTGAATATGATCATTCATGCTTAAGGTCTTGCCGTTCACGTGCACTGTATGAAGGCCTCAAGGTTGGCTTGGTTTCTCAGAAAATTCAAATATCTTTAAAGCTCTTGGTCTTGCTCATAAATTTTAAACACTTCAAGCTCTTAAAGTTGGATCCTTACGGTGCTGCTCGCACACTGAGACTACCTATACTATTATAAGTGATAAAAATATTTAGTTATTAGCTGAAGGGAGGCCTCCAAAACTTACATGGTTGGAAATGGTACTCTCAAACATGCTACTTTGAGTAGAAGCAAGGGTTACTGTGTTGGTACTAATATTGTCTACAAATCTAAATGCTTGTCACTAAATTTATTTGCCTCCCCGAGAATCACATCCAGATTTAGGTATACCATCTGTAGATTATCCTTTTATAGTTTCTAGTGTCTGTTTGGTCAACTGTGTACTGTTTATATTCATTCTTGTTTCCAACGCTGGAATAGTATCTTCCAGCCTGTCATTTATTTGATTTCTACTTTTGCAATCTCTAGGTGACTGCAACCCCAGATTTAATGCTAGGGTATTTAGATTTCTTCCTTGGGGGAGATGAAAAAAGGCCTGATCTTCCACCTCGTCTTCGTCAAAGGTTTCCAATGTCTCTGATCTTTGGAGGCGATGGAAGTTACATGGCTCCGTTTTCACTTAATAGTGACAGTGTGCTTACTAGTCTTATGAGCCAGGTATCATTTTAAGATCTTTCAAATTGAACTGTTCATGTCCTTGCACTTTTCCTCAAGTACTCATGCCATATCTGTTACAGGCTGTTCCCTCATGGATATGGCACCGTCTTGTAGCTGGATTGAATGCACAGCTGCGTTTAGTTCGCTGTGGAAATCTGAAAGTAACGTTTCTTCCGGTCATCGACTGGCTTGAAACTCATGCAAATCCCTCTTTAGCCGAGAATGGTATCCGCGTTGATCTTGCCTGGTTCCAAGCTACAGCATTAGGGTACTGCCAACTTGGTCTTCTTGTTTATGCTGTTGAAGGAGAAGCTGCAGTTATTGAACCTGATGGAAGCCCTAGAGTAAAAACAGAGCAACGCACACCGTGAGTTATTATGTGTTTTTATGTTTGTTATTATTGGTGTCGTTTATCATCATTATTATTTATGATGGCTTATTATTACACCACGCAGAACACAAAACATGCTTGCTGATACTCAACTAAGTCAGTCCAGGATTAAGGATGCTCTAACGCGCAAAAGGATCACTGGTGGAGTTCTCGATAGTAATAGCCTAAGGACGCTAAAAGACAGGAGAGATTTATTTTACCCATTTTCTCTTATCTTGCACAATTCGAAACCAGTTGGGCATCAGGTCTTTCTCTGCCATTGTTCTTGTCCACACAATGATTTTGAATCAATTCTTCATTTTGTGCTGATCTTGGATCTGTTTTTCTTAACTGCAGGACCTTGTTGGTTTGGTAATTTCAATACTGCTGCTTGCAGATTTCAGCTTAGTTTTGCTTACTTTTCTCCAGCTGTATTCATATTCTATGGTCGATGTTCTCTTGGTTTTGTTTATTCTACCTCTTGGGATTTTGTCGCCTTTTCCTGCTGGTATAAATGCTCTATTTAGTCATGGACCAAGGCGGTCAGCAGGCCTTGCTCGTGTATATGCATTGTGGAACATAACTTCACTGGTCAATGTCGTAAGTATTCTTCACCTACCTACATTTCAATGTTATATCGGTATCTATCACATGGAATGTCAGCAATTGAATGGTTTCTTTCTATCAAGTGTTATGCCTCTATAACCTTCTTCCTGTGCTTGTTAATCTCTAGGTTGTGGCTTTCATATGTGGTTTTGTACATTATAAGTCGTCAACCAAAACACACCCGAGCGTGCAGCCCTGGAACCTGGGAACGTAAGCATAATTTCCCTAGCCTGTCCACTAGAATCTTCTAAGAGTTATATGCAGTTAAGCCACATGTCATAAAATATTTCCAGGGATGAAAGCGGTTGGTGGCTCTTCCCAGCCGGACTCATGCTATTGAAATGCATTCAAGCAAGGCTTGTTGATTGGCACGTTGCTAATTTAGAGATTCAAGACCGTGCGGTATATAGCAACGACCCAAACATCTTTTGGCAGTCATGACACCAGGTGTAACTGAGGTCCTTCTGGAAAGCTTTTTACAACTCGATTTTTTGTGAGTTGATAAAAGGAAGAGTGCGGGCAGCAAGGCCTTTCTTTATTGACCAGGCCAAAGAAGGAACTACAGAGGTTATATAGATGCATACTTCCGCATCCCCCGCTGATCATGTGCAGTTGCAACCGGTGTTCTGTTGTATATATAAAAGGTGTTCTTGATCCATTCTTTGTAGGATTTAGACACCATAGAGTTTATAAACAATGTGAAAGCTAACCTAAGAGAGACATCGGGGGGATGTGGATTTGTTGTTCTATTGCTACCATGCCCTGGCCCTTGATGTTTGTTGAGATGGGCAGAGGGGCCTCGAGTCATCGAGAAGCAAAAGCCTCTTGTATGTGATCAGATGGGTAAATCAATTATATTATTAACATGCTCCATGGTTTTCACTTTTTTTTGCGCAAAGCTCCATGGTTTTCACTGACAGCAAGGCCGATAAACTGTGTGAAATCGGTGATTTGTTGATGTGCCATTTGCAACTTTGCAAGTCATCGAGGGATGCAAAACCCTTCTGTCGTATCTGATGCTGTGTCACTTGCGGACCGGTAGTGGTGGATGGATGGCTGGGTCGGCCATCTAACAGAACCCGGTGTACTCGAGAGGGCTAGGTATTCGTGTTCAATACTGATTGACCTTCCCCACAATTCGTAAAAGTAGCCTCATTTGTTCAAAGTAAATTGATCGCACGTAGTTTGACCAAATATAATCTCATCACACGAAGGACAAAGTATGCATATAGGTCATCTATACCAAAATATAAGTACGGTTTCACTTGATAACTTCTAGAGCAATATAACGTTAATATGATCAGTTGCCGGGATAACTCTATCTAAACCATGATAGTGTAAATTTTAGTTGTTTGGTTTTTTGCATAGCCCTTTATTCAGATTAGCACTTTCCTCAAAAGCACATCTTTTTAATACACCACCGAACACACCTGATTTGGCCGTATTCAGCTCTTGATCTGGTTCCATCCAGCACTGCCTTGCCGTGCTTTTGCCGTGTTCGCTTTAACTATTTCAGCAGTACTTTTCAGCGAATAAACAGTATTTCTTCTCTCACAATAAATCGTGCTTATGCTGATTTGTTGTGAGAGGAACATCTATGACACGGCTTATGATGCAATCTCCTAATGCAGATTAACCTTAACGTAGACAACCAATCACACCATACATATATCATCTATGACAACAATATAGCATCTGTGACAACGAAACTTTGATAATTAGAAAGTAGTTCTAAAAATACAAATCCAATACAACCACTTCTGTAGCATGAAATTCTGTATTGTTCATCACTAAGTGTAATATCAAAATCTACTATACTATTACTAAGTTTCATCTTGAAACCCTTTTTACAGAAAATTATTAATATTATGATATCAAGTAGTGTTATTAGATTCATAATGAAATATATATTTTTATAGTACATTTTTGAAACTGTAATTATTAATACTATTTTTATAAATTCAGTAAAATTTAAATTTACTTGACTTTAATTGGATTAGAACTGTACCTTTGTTTTAGGGAGGGAACTTCTGATCCATGACGTTTTACAATCGATAATGCTTGTATTAGGGTGTCCGTCCACTCCGGATGGCCCCGCTAGCAGGCTTGGAGGCCCAGAAGGCTCTCCCATCTGTTCATATCCACTCACCTCCAGCAACCGTAGTTTTCTAAAAAAAAAAAAAAAAAAGAAAAAAAAAAACTCACCGCAGCACCACGAGCCTACGACCGCGGATCCCTCCCGCCATCTCCACCGTGCCTCCTGCCCGCCTTCTCTCCACTGCGCCTCCCTCTCCACCTTATGCTACCGCTCGCCTTCCTCTCCATCGCGCCTCTCTCTCCACCGTGCCTCCCACTTGCCTTCTCCACCGGAGCGACCTACTATGGCCTTCTCCACCAGACCTGCCGCAACCTTCTCCACCGGAGTGGCGAGCTCCACGCCACCGATACGCTGCTGCCGGACGGCGTGGCGCGCGGCTTCCCTCTCCCAGTCGTGCAGCAGTTGCCTCTCCGCCATGTTGCGAAGCCGCCGCTGGGCCGCTGCCTCCGGCACGTCGACGAGCCTCCATTCTCCCAAGCTGCAACGAGATGTTGCGCTGAAAGCACATGTTGCAAGTGTATGTTTCAAGTGTTTTAGATGTTTGTTGCAAGTGTTTCATATGAATGTTACAAAAGTAGATCGGGGATGTTGCATATGTTGCAATGGCTGTACGTGTATGTTCCAATTGTCTGTTCCCAATATTTCATATGTGTTTTTCAGACGTATGTTGCAAGTGTATTTATCTGGATGTTGCATATGTTTCACACATATGTTGTAAGTGTTTTATTTGGATGTTGCGTATGTTTGCAATGGTTTTCAATCGTTTTTCAGGTGTTTTTTCAAGTGTTTCAGAAATATGTTGTAAGTTTTTTATCTATCTACGTATGTTGCAACTATTGTATTTAAATATTTTAAAAGTAGATTAAATATTTACACATGTTACAATGTCACTTACCCGTTGCAGCTACTGGAGGGGGCGCGAAGGGTCAGGTGAGGGCGCAAACGCCGCATGAGGTCGGGTTGAGCGCAGACGCCTCGTCGGGCTGGCGCGGGGCAAAGTGCAGACGCGGGGTGCGGACGTCCGGGCGCCCTAGCTACCGTTTTACAGTCGGTCGACCGACCATAAACGTACCGCGTCCGACTTCTTCCACGATCGCGACTCTCGACAACCGCCTCCATCGCGCTCTTCCTCTTCCCGCCGCCTAGCCCTATCCGCGCGTCCGCGAGGCCGGCAACCGCTAGCCACCGCTATGCCGATCTCCTCCACCCTCGCCGCGCGCCTCCGCACCGGCCACTCTCCCGCACCCTCACCCGCACGCGCGCCCGCACGGTGGAGCCCCTACGCCAGACCCTCTGTGTCTGAGCCTTGCGGCGGCGCCAAGGCCTCCCGCCCGACCCTTCGCCTCGATCCGGCGACGACGAGGCTCCTCGGCCCTGTTCAGAAGGCGGTGCTGTCCGGATCGAGTCTCCGTGCCGAGCCCGATGCGCCCGATGCTGCATCTGCAGCACCCGCACGGCGGCGATGCGGAAACGACATGACAAACACAAAGCCTGAGCCGAAGCCGAAACCGGCTAATGGAGACGATATGCCGCCCCTTGAGGATAAGCGCCGCTGCAGCGGTGAGGGCGGCTTCGTCTTCCTCTGCGCCCTTGCTGGACACACGGAGGTGCGAAGCTTCCCCGTCTCTCTGAAAATCCGCTCTATCGCGACGCGGTCGCGAATTTCTGTCTAGCAGTTGTGATGGGCTCTGACAGTAATCATAAAATCTGTCAGGCTATCAGTGGGATTTCTCTGCCGCTGGGTTCCGACAAGCTCTACTCCGGCAGCGCCGACGGATCTGTTCGCATCTGGGACTGCAATTCCGGCAAGGTAGCTTGGTTCTCGGCTCACAGCAATGTATCTGATTATGCACGGGCTCCAACATTCTCTGATTATGCATGGGCTCCCAACAATCTCTCTGATTATGCACGGGTAATGGTCTGCTTCCACGGAGGTTCCAGTGAGGAGGTTTTCATTGTTCGTGGCGGTTGATGTGCTAATTAGCAAAGTGTGGTGGTTCACGTGCACCCTATGCAACCAACCAAATGGTGATTCAGGATTTCTTCTGATTGGTTCTGGTGATGATGCCCTCACTGTATCACCAATCGTCAGTGGATTTCTTATGATTAGTCGGGGTGGTCCATGTGCTCTTGGTTTGGATTGGATGTTATCTGTCAGGCTAGCCATCTTGCTATTGGAGGCTCTTCGCCTGCTTCAGTTATCTGTTTGCCTGGGATCAGTTTGGGATGCTATCTGGTTGGTTGTCACTTGGTTGATACATATGGTTCCATGATCTGCAAGAGAATCTTCAGTGATTACAGCCGTCTCATTAGTGGATAGTCATGCATTTATGTAAAAAAAATAGCAATGAGAAAAAACAAAGTAAAGAAAAGAAAAAAAAACATAGATAGAGATATGTGGCAGTATATCCAAGAGAGGATGGCAAAAAAAAAAAAAACGAATATGTTATCATATTACAATTTTGTTCTTAATGTTTCTGGAATAGTGTGTTGATGTCATCAAGATGGGAGGCAAGGTTGGCTGCATGATCACCCATGGCCCATGGGTATTCATTGGAATTCCGAAGTCTGTGGAGGTGAAATTCTGATTCTAGTGAGAGTACACCTTTATTTCGTATTATATCTGGTGACATATTGAGGGGTGACTTTGCTTGGTACAAGGCTTGGAACACAAAGACAGGGATGAAACTAAGTCTTCAAGGGCCTTCTAGTCTGGTTTGTTCCATGGCTATCACGGATGAGATGCTGTTTGCTGGTACGGGAGATGGTCGCATCGTGGCCTGGAAATTTCCTTCTAAGGAGAGTAACATTGAACCAGTGTTGATCCTCAGTGGCCATCAACGTCCAGTTGTTTCACTGTCTATCTCAGCAAGAAGACTTTACTCTGGCTCACTTGACAAGACCATCAAAGTATGGATTTTTCCTCAAGATATCGCTCAATTGACCACTGAATGTTATGTTGGTTCTGATGCATTCTTTATTTCTTTGTATTTACCAGGCATGGGACCTTACGACTCGGCAGTGTGTCCAAACACTCTTTGAGCATAAAGCTGCTGTAACATCTGTGCTTTGTTGGGATGAGAAGTTATTATCTTGCTCCCTTGACAAGACTGTAAAGGTCTGGACTCTGTCAGAGTCTGGAAACCTTCAAGCCAAATATACTCATGCTGAGGAGCATGTAAGAACTGCACTCCTGCTGATCATGCATTATTTTTGTTTTGTTGGATGCTGCAGACTGTGTATAACTAAATAGTTTATGGCAACAACATTTTTATAGTTGTATAACTAAGTTTTACTAGTTAAGAACAACATTTACCTATTTTGATGAATATTGGTACTGCCCAAAGTTCAGCAAAGAAGAAGTATAGCGTGCGAAAACTATGTTGCTTATTTCAATAATAATAACTGAATTTTGTGTGAATAATAACATTGCTGATTTGTTGTTTTTGTTCGTGCCTTCCAGTCCTTCTAGTTTCATTGATCAATTCTGTTTTTTGTGTGCTATTCCATTGATCAGCTTATGTCTATTCTCAATTGACAATGTAATGACTCTGTTCTACTTTTTTTTGGGGTATAAGAATAACCTGCCTTATACAGAAATATGATAGTTTCAATGGCTCTGTACTCCTATGTAGCGAATGCTTCTAAAAATCAAGCAGATCTGTCCTCAAATGTCTTTTTCCTTTTTGTTGCCACGATCAGTTTTCCTCTGTACATCTGCTTGTCTCATGGTCTTAATTGTTGGGAGTCCATTTGCTTTTGGCCAAGAAATATGATTCATAAATGTAGTCTCTGAGGTAGGTGTTGGCATAGGCATATGCTGGAACCTCTCAACATTGGGTCTTCTTGCTTGCATATGGGAGATAGCTTGTCTGGTTGGTCTTCTTGGTCGACTGGAGTTTATCTGATGAACCTGGAAAATTTAGTGATTGGAGTTTCTATATACTGATATAAGCCTCATTGGATGAGAACTTTAGGAGGTCTGCTCAGTTCATCTGTTTGCCTCGAAGACTTGAAGAGTGTGGAGTACTGAGTATCTTAGAATTATAAAAACAACTTCTAGAGCATTATGTTTGAACTGATTGCCTATCATAAAAAGTTTAGTCTGCATGCAGGAAGAACTAATGAAATTTCCTGGCCATTGTTCTAGCTCAGCAGCAGTTTTTTTTCCTTCTACTTTCTAGTCTACCTGTATTTCAAAATGTTCCCCTCACTGTATTATTCTCTTAAGTACTTTTGACTTGGAACAAGTTAAAAAAATATATTTTTAAGCTTTTTCATAAGATGGTCTGAGAAAAATTGCTGCCTTGGTGTGCTTGATCAGGGAAATTACACAAAGGGTACAATTATGCAAGTGCAATGAGAGTGTGCTGTGTTTCCCCCTTCCTTTTAAATTGGTTTGCTCACAACAGCTCTAGGCTGTTTCCCTGCTGCTTAACCTTTCCGATTCTGTTGCAGGGTTTGCGCACACTCTTCGGCATGCACCGAGTTGGGAAGACGCCAGTTCTCTTCTGCTCCCTCCGCAACAGCAATTGCATCCGTTTGCTCGACTTGCCATCGTGAGTGCATAAAAATTTCTCAGTTCCATCAGGTGGACAAACCGCTTGCACCGTTGTTGTGGTGCTCAGTGGTTCCTTACTGAAAGGAGCTCTGCATTTCCTTGGTTACTATCTTACAGGTTCGACGGGATGGGCACACTCTTCGCCAAGAAGGAAGTGAGGACCATCGAGCTCGCAGCTGGTGGGCTGCTCTTCACCGGAGACTGCTCCGGCGAGCTGAAAGTGTGGAGGTGGGCGCCCCAGGACAAGGAGGCAGTGGCGGATGTGCATTCATAGTCATCTGTAATTCAGTGTAGCCTCATGAATGACAGCCACTGATGTGCTATTGTATTTGTATCCATGTAAATTATGGCAGCTCTGAAGTCAAGCCTAGATGATGTAGCACAGACCATTTTATGAGGCCTGATAAGTGATGCAACCCTGATATCATGTTCCCATGCGGCTCTCTTTAACTGCCCTGATTTGAGATGCGTGCCATTGCCATGTCCATCCAGAAGACAAAAGTGTCTATGGCCATGGTCGTGTGGATGCAGGCAGAAGACCAAGCGTGTAAGCTTTGTATACGAGCTCTCACCGAGTCACAATGCCGTGTGACATAGACTACCTAACTCCAATTGACTCTGGTAATTGCTAGTTTAACGCCAAGAAACAAACACGTCCACCGATTCCGCCCACGGAGTCTGAAAAATAATGTTCATTCTAGATTTGAACTAGGAGTTATAGAAAATATTATATTTTCTAAATAGATTTATTATAAAAATATATTTTATGATTCATTTGATGATATTTATTATGCGTCATAAACATCAACATATTTTTGTATATATTTGATGAGGTTGAGCCCTTGAAAAACGAGACAACGACGTTCTTTTTTGGAACCAAAGGAGTACATACAAATGAAGCTGCTTGATAGTCCTTGTGATACATACATATATACATACATATACATTCATCCGTACCTACAATTGATGTTTGAGATCTGATTGTCCTTACTGTACATGTTATACATACGTACAAATGAAGTTTTGGGGCCTGACTGTCCGCGTTATACACATAGAGACATGCAAATGACGTTTGAGGCCTAATTATACGTGTAGCTTGCTCAAGAGGTCTTCTAAAAAGGGGAATATACAGTAGCGTGTTTGCAAATGACGTTTGAGGCCTAATTATCCGTGCAGCTTGCTCAAGAGGTCTTCTAAAAAAGAATATATAATGGCTTGTTTGCGGTTTATTTCCTTTTTTTTATTTTCCGATGATAATTGGTGTAATCTAGCTATAGGCTTTGCGTATGTGTGATGGTAACCAATAATCTACGACCACCTTTATTTATTCAGGTCAGCACTGTTGCTTAGCTTTTGTAGAGTGACTTTGTCTAAAGCTGGGAATAAACCTCTCCAAGCATGCCATTAGTCAACGTACGGCAAGTCAAGTGCAATGCATGTGGTGAATGCTTAGGAAATTAAATAAGAGAAAACTAAGGCACTGCACCTCTGGTCAACTGGAGTACTCTACTTATCATCAGTTCACCACCAACCGACCTGGTCGCAAATGACCCTTTACCTGATCTTGTCGATGTCAGTTGTCAAATGCGTGCTATCTGATCATCAATCACGGAACAAGATTTTGTATTTTTATAGAAAATTAAATGACGGTGCCATCGAAGCAAAACGTGCAAACTGAGGAAGAATCACGCACCTCGATCCAAGCAAGTTTCTTTCACATGTGACGGTGTCTTTTCTTTTCCCCTCTCGCATTTCCCCCCTTTTTTAAGTGACCAGTTGAGGACTAGTTATTTGAAACAAAAGCAAAAAGGAAAGCTAACACAGGGTAGAGTGTCTTGTAGAGGTTTGATACTCGATTTTCTCTCTTCCCCATGGCAAGCTGATGTGGATCAAGGCAGCTTCTTTCCTTACTACAGCAAATTATAGGGGCATGCCCCATATGCAGATGCATGCATAGGGAGGAACCATGTGGTTCCCATAGCGATGCCTCAAAAAAGTAAAAACAATATCCACAAATGTCGTGAACGTCAAGTTTGAGATCTGGCCAATAGTTTTTCAACCTAAACCCGGGGAGGTGCAAAGATGAAATGAGAATATGATTTTACTCGGGGATGGTTTCACTTTATCACTATCTTCCATAACGTAAATATGACCTTGACATCAGTAATCTATATACATATTAATTAACAACCGCTGGCAATTCACATTATTAACCCAAGAAAGCATGCGTTTGCGTTCGAGTTAGTGGCGATCAGTTGAAGATGTCCTGGCCGGGGGAGAGCAGCTTGTTGGGGTCGTACTTGTTCTTCATCTCCACGAAGCGGTTCCACTTGACGGTGCCGAAGTGGCGGACCCAGTCCATGCGGTTCGTGTAACGCGCCAGGTAGCTCTTGTACTGGATCCCGGCGAGGTCGCAGAAGCGCAGGATCCTCTGGTTCTGCTCCTGCAGCCTCGCCAGGTCGTTGGCCACCGACGAGAAGAGCAGCGACACCGCGTAGAACACGTCCTCCGACGGCATCGCCGCCGACATGCTGTCGTCCCACCTGAAAATACCCAGAGAAGAGCGATCGAGTCAGAGGGCGTGCCACGCCGTGCCTAGAGCTAGCTAGTCGATCGATTTGTTCAGTGTGTGTGCGTGCATGCACTGCACTGCACACGTACATGGATTTGTTGAGGGGGTAGACGATGAGCGGGCCGACGATGTCGGTGCCCTGGAGGATCCCCTTGAAGACGCCACGGTCCACGTCGGCGATGCGCGACCGCGGCACGAACATGTTGAGCCACGGGTGCGGCACTTGCCATAGCCCCAGCTTGTCGAGCGCCACCTCCTCGTTGTGCACCCGGTCCAGGAACTGCTCGTAGGTCACGTCGCGCTGGAACGCGAACCCTTCCACGAAGCTTAGCGTGTCTAGCACAGACTTGAGCTCCTGCATGCATGCATGCCCGGCCCAGTGAGACTAATCACCCATCACATCCATGCAAGCTAGCATCATGGTCATGGCGACCGAGAGCTATAGACGTGGTTCGTACCTGGTCCACCGTCGTGGCGTTGTCGTAGTTGAGCGTGGCCTCGATGCTGTACACGGTTGTGGCGTTCCTCTCCGCGGCGAGCACGACGATCCTGGCGACATCGGCGTCGGAGAAGAACCCCGTGTTCGTCAGGTCGGTGGCGAGGCTCTGGTTCACGAACACCGACCCCTCGACGTAGCTCATCGGGCCGAACGCGCCATCGGGCCGCGGGGCGATGAGCCGCTCCTGGTCGGCGGTGAACGTGGCGAAGTCGGTGTAGACGAGCCGCACCCACCGCGCCCTCGCCGGCGCCGCCTCGAGCACGATCCGGGCGCGGGTGATCACGCCGAACTGGCCCAGCCCGCCCAGGACTGCGTCGAACAGGTCAGCGTTGAGCTCCTTGGAGCACGTCATCATCTCCCCGTGGCCTGCACGCACGCGTGCACGACAAAGTCCACGCCCAACAATTTATCGAGATGCCAATGTCAACGCATCAATACTGCGAGCCAGCATGTTTATTTATTAGTAGTTAAAAAAGACGTCGCCGCCCCTCGCCTGCCGGCCGGCGGCCGGCCGGTGCAGCGCGGACATTAACCACCATGCACTTCTAGAGTTCTAGTATATAATGGAGTACAATTTTAAATATGAATTTGCATTGTAGTTAACGAATTTAATCAGGTTGATTGGGAGATGGTTGCCGTCGATCGTGTCACCCCGTGGCAAGCAACGACGGAAGTTGATCGATGCAGGTGTGGCACGTAATTATCTATTACTCGTAGTACGTACCAATAATAACAATTTTTTTTAAAAAGGGCGATCGGGCTAGCGTTTGCTTGTTGGTGTTGTGCGCGGATATTTTGTGCAAGGAACGTAGGTGCATACGTACCGGTGATAACATCCAGCTCCAACACGTTAGATATCTGTGGGCCGTGCCGGAACGCCTGGCCGCTGATGCCGGCGTTGGACAGCGTGCCGCCGACGGTGAGGTAGAGGTAGTCCGTCCAGGACCGCGGCGCCACCCCGCGCGCCAGCGACGCGCGCAGCACGTCGATCCACATCTGCTCGCCGCCGGCGTCCACGTACCGGCCGTCCGCCGACACGTTGATGCGCGGCAGGGCGGCGGCGGCGTCGCCCAGGGACGCCATGTGGACGACCACGCCGCCGGGGGCGAAGGCCTGGCCCATGAGCGAGTGCCCGCGGCCGCGGAACGCGATGGTGTAGGGCCACCCGGGGGTGGAGTTGGCCGCGCCCAGGAGCGCCGCCAGGTCGCCCGTAGACGACGGGTACAGGACCGCCGCCGGCAGCGCCGACGTGATGTTGCCGAAGTCCGTCGAGGCCGCCACCGTGGCGTTGGTGTCGGTCCGGAGCCTGCCCGCCACCACGAGCGCGGCGAGGGCGGGTGGCCAGGGACGGTGATCTCCAAGCGCAAGCGTGCCTACTGGTGCATGAGAACAGGCGATTAGCGCAGCCAGCAGCAGGTTAACAACCGCCATTATTAGCGACGTCGTTCACGGGGAGAGAGCGCTACACGTTATGTGTGTGTGTGTTTTTTGGTAACTAGGACGTGGTGTTTGCACCCCGTATATAAAGGACGGGCAGGGCAACACATACGTGTGTGGTGTGATACATACTTCAATTACTCGAACACAGAGAGCTTCTTTCCAAAGAAAAAATTATTCTGCATGCCGTCTTGTTTTATTCTGTTTGACCACAGAAATATAGCACACACAGGTGCTAGTTACCATCCTTCCAAGGATTTAGAAAAAAAACTCTTATATTTGATCCTACTTAATTACTCTCTCTGCCCTATAATATAGCGCATTCAAACATTTGAAAATATTGTACATAAATATAGGCGATTCTAGGAGACAAAATAGTTGTGCATTAAATAGTTGTATAAATTTGGTAGGCATTAAATTGATACTTGCTATTTATCAACCAATCACCACTAATAATATTGACGATAATAACATCTGATTAGGAAATAAATTGAGGGTACACTTATCTTTTTATATTTTCTCTTAATGTATCTGATACAGGACGGAGGGAATAAGTTATAATTTTGGTACCTCTCCAAGGGTTTAGAAAAAAAAAAACTCTCTAATGTATGCATGGTGCTTATGTGTAACCATTAGCAGTATACATATATGTGTAACCATTAGCTGCTGTCTGAACATTTGCAGACCAGGGACTGGAAGTTCTGTATTATATTGGTCTTTGGCAGCTGCGACATTTACATATATGTTATACTAACTCCTTTGACCA